TTTACCTTACATATTCTTTTCAAAAAATCATAAAAAAAGACATTTAAAAATAAAAAATTACAAATAGAAACCCATTACAATATTAGTATAGGTTTTGACAACAGTTTTTATGAATGAGTCCTTAATTTTAAGGGTTTTTTAACGATTTTTGCTATTCTTTTTATCAAAATTTTGCAACCCCATTTTTTCAATTTCATAGATCAAGCTCATTAAAAAAAATTCTCTTTTCTTTCCCTCCAATTCTTTCACACCAAATACAGGATAAGCTAGCATTGGCCATAGCTGAAGTTGGTAGTTACGCTAATTATTTTATTGAATAAGCTAATCATGAGCAATTAAGAATGTAGTAACATAAATGATGCCCCGTGCGACGCCTTGGTCCGTCCGAGCTTGAGAGAGAGAGAGAGAGAGGCGAGGAAGGAAAAGGAGAGGAAAGAGACGAGTGCGTGAGTGGGGGGATGGGATTGTGGGGGAGGTGGGTCAATGCGCCCCATTGCGTGGAGCTGACTCAGCTCCTTATCCTTCATTCTCCTTTTCTCCTGTCCCACTCTCTCTTCTTAATTATTATCTACTTTTTTAATATAAAAATTTATTTAATTTTTATTTTAGTTCTAAATATAAAATTTTAAAAATTTATTTTAGTTTTCATATTTATTTTTTTAAATATTTTTTATATCAATAGTAGTTTTAACTAATACACTTGATTATAAAATATATTTTAAGAAAAACAATATATGTTTTTTTTACAAATAACTAACTTAATTAATTTTCTTGATCTATTCAAATCAGTCAACTAACTCTTATTAAAAACTAAAAGTAGCATATAAAATAATCGTTACACCATTTTTTTCAATTTACTTAAAAGACGGATAATAACTCACAAGAATTTTCACATTATCACTTTTTGTTTTTGACAACTCCATGTTATCACTTACCGTGCCAGTGCTATTGGCTATCCATTATATATAGTAATATTATACCGGTCATAAATATAAAAATTAATTGATTAATTTGAGTAAATTAAAAAAAAAGTTAAGTTAGTTATTTGTAATAAATAGACGTTGTCTTCTCTAAAATATCTTTGTTAATCAAGTGTAGTGTCTAGAATTACCATTATTAGGAAGACTATCTTAAAAAAATATATAAATGTGAGAGACAAAATAGATTAGAGTATTATATGTATAACCAAAATAAAAATCAAACGAGATTTCATATTAACAATTAGAGGTAATCTTAGATTTTGAGTCCAATTCAAAATCATTCTCTTATCAATAACATTAAGCTTCATGGAAGGGGTTAACCCCTTGTAATCAATGAGAGAATTATTCATATTTAATACATAACAGTATCTCAAATAAGTTTTTAATGAGAAGATATTTGTGTTTAATGAGAAAATAGTTATTTCAAAAACAGTTTTTTGTATTTATATAAACTCATTTAAAAAAGTTGTACTACATTTAGTATCTAACTCTAATATAAGTGTTAAATAATTTATCTGTAGATATTAAGAAAATTATATTACTAAGCTATTTATTAAAAACAATCATTGAATTTTTTTTGAAATATCCTATTTAATTATTTTCTTTTAATTAAAATATCTCAACACATGTACCATTAATATAAATAGCTTGAGAAAAATATTATAAACTGAGGAGAAAATAGATTGATACTAGGATCAAAGAACTAGTTGACTAATTTGAGTATATCAAGAAAATTTGTTAAGTTAATTATTTGTAATAAATATGTGTTGTCTTTTTTAAAATACTATTGCCAATAATTCATGTTGGCTAGAATTACTATTTCATAGAATATTTAATATATATAACTACTATAAGGACTACTTTGAAAAACGTAAATAAATATGAGAAACAAAATAAATTAGAATTTTATATTTATGATCAAAATTAAAAGTCAAATTAGTTATTATATTAAAGACCAGAGATAGTACTCTTATAATTCTTAATATAAGACTTATTTAACTAATTTGATTAGATTAAAGAAGCTAAAAAAAATTAGCTAATTATAAGAAATATGACATGTTTTTTTCAAAATACCATAATCATTTTTCTTAATATATCCCCTCCCTTTTATATTTGATTATAGTTGAGAGAGTACCAATAAGAATAATTTAAAAAAAACTGATAAATATAAAAAATAATTCTTATATTTAGGAAGGTTATATATTAAAGTTCAGACGAGTATTATATATTTATATCAAAACAAACCTGTAAAGTAATTTCTATATTAGGACTGGGAGGGTATTTCCATTGGCTATTCCTCATCTCACTTATATTTATCGATCATTATCGGAGCGTCGCCCCCACGTCTTATCTCTCTACCTTGCTGGCTTGGCTTTCGCTGTCATCCTCCCTCCTCTCTGGGTCTCCCCACGTCTCATTTCAGTTTTTTAACGCGCCGCTGTCTTCTTTTTTTTACCTATATACCCTTCTCCCCTCATTTATTTTTCTATTTGTTATTTTTGTTTACCTAATTAACCGCCAAGACTTTGTCGGCACGAAAAAAAATTGTAAGCGTCGGCCTCATTTTTACCCCACAACTGTTTACCGTGTAAATATTATTGATTTATATTCAAGTATTGTTTTTAAACATGATTTAACAAACAATTATTAAAGAAAACAAAATATGTACAACATACTCCTCCGGTTCCTAATATAATACTCATTTAACTAATTTGATTAGATTAAATAAGTTAGGTAAGTTAGTTAATTATAAAAAATGTGACATATTTTTCTTAAAACACCATAATCATCTTTCTTAATACCCCACCTCTTCTACTTGATTATGGTTGATGGAGTATCTATAGGGGTAATTTATAGAAAATTGATAAATATGAGAAATGGGTCTTATATTTAGGACCAAAACCAACTCAACATTTGGGTCCTATATTAAGGACCGAAGGAGTAGTTAGTTTTAATTATATACTCCTCCGGTCCTTAATATAAGACCCATTTAATTAATTTGATTAGATTAAGGAAGTTAGGTAAGTTAGTTAATCATAAGAAAAGTGACACTTTTTTCCTCAAACACCATAATCATCGTTCTTAATACCTCATTCTCCCTCTTCTACTTGATTATAGTTGAGGGAGTATCCATAGAGGTAATTTAGAGAAAATTGATAAATATGAAAAATGGGTCTTACATTTAGAATCAAAACTAACTCAAGAATTAGGTCTTATATTAAGGACCGGAGGAGTATATACTCTTCCAGTCTTAAATATAAGATCTGTTTTATAATATTCAGGACCGAAAGAGTATATATTAATTATTCACTGTTCACACACATAATTCTGTGTATCTCTCTCTCCCTCGTATATGGGTGCTAGGTAAAAATCTTGTCAATGAAAAAAACTGTAATTCCACGTTCAAAGTATAAGTTTTTAAATAATTTAATCACTTGCTGTTAAACAAGGAAAATTAATCATAAGCCCCTGAATATAAAAATTGAGGCTTAATATAATTTTAAGTTCTCCAGATCTTTTTCATTTAAAATATTGATATTTATAATTTAATAAAGATTTAGAACATTTTGTTCTCTAAAGAACAAAAATCATGGTTTAAAATTTGATATTTCAAAACTAAAATGAGAACAAATTTAAGGAACCAAAAACTGTATTAACTCTAAAATTTATCATGTAAAGGTCTCTAAAATTTGCTCAAAGATAGTAAAATATATTCTCAGCTAGTGCAACTTTTTTTAAGTTTTATGCAACTTATTTTCATAAGAACTTGGACTTTTAGATACCTTTGCACAGTTAATAAAAAAAATCAGAAAATTTGACTAATTTTTCTTAAAAAAATGTTCAGCATCATCATCCTTAACATGCCCGCAATATCATGGAAGCATTTTGCGCGTGGTTAGAGCCATCTAATTACACCGTCACTTCCTCTAATCCACAAAAGATGAAGTTTGAAATAAAATATGTAGTAATTAACTAATTATATATACTCATTATTTAATGTGTAGTATTAAAATGGTTAATTATTGTGGCAAACCATTATTTAATTCTCACAAAGTCACAATAGGAGGCTTTTCGTGATTTCAAGAATCCATGATTTTTTCAGGCCAGTGATGGTGTGCGCAACCAAATATTAATCTGACCCTACACACACACACACAAAAATTAAATAAATATCATTATTTAGTTATAGTTGTACATTTATTTTTTTTTTAAATTTAAAGGCATACTGGGTTGACAAAGGGTTATAATACTATTAGATAAACATTGAAAATAGAATAAAAATCTTGGAAGGACCACTCTCTGGATTCTGTGATTTTGACTATAATTTTTTAAATTATTTAAGCAAAATAATCATGAAGCACAAGCTGTTTGCTTAAATAATTAAGCAGATCTCCAATGATGGATAAGGTTATTTATATAATAAATAAATAAATAAATCCCATATATATGGCTATAGGATTAGGTGTCTTGGTGAAAAATGAACTCTACTTACCTACTTGCAATAAGATATTCAACCCCACTTATATTACAATAAAACACATTAAAGTACTTCAATTTTTTTTGGCACAATACTATTATAGTAGCATTTAGACAATTTAAATTAAATTTACCGTCGCAAAAATTGTCGTATATATATAAATTAAAAAGAAACAATAATAAATTTTTATATTTATTTTTGATTAATTTATAATTATAAATATGTAATAAATAAAAAGTCTTATTTAATTAAAACCTACTACATGGGAACCAGAACGGTACGGCAAGCATCTAAAATGCGTACGATTAAAATAAAGAATATTCATAATTTTAGATGCAAGAGAAGGGTAAAATGGTCAATGCACATTGAAGGTGATGGCGAAACCGAACCGTGGTTACAAAAGCAAACTCCAGTAAAAATCTGAGAGACTATCTGTAGTCTTGCAATATCCAACTTGTCAACCAGAAAGATACATTTTTGGGGGGAAAAAAAAAGAAAAAAGAAGTAAAACTCTATCCACAAAGCCATAATGTTCCCCAAGCTATTAAAAATCTCGCTCTAGCGATTCTGTTTATTCTTTCTTCCGTTTGCATTCTCCTCAACTTCTTCTGTTCATGTCCCAAGGAGCCTTCATTTCCCTCGTCTTCTTTCTCTCTCGTCACTTTTGATATTCCTCTTGAAGTTTATCCTCAACCGCATCGTCGATCGCTGGCGAGGTTGGCCTTTGAACTTGTGTTTTTCCCCAGTGCCTGTTTTTCTTTTCTGGGTTTCTGGTCTGTCATTGAAGTTGGTTCTGTGTAGTTTTCGTAGGTTCTGTTTTATTTGGGGCTGCCGTTTCTGTTTTTATCCTTTGCTTGTGGTTTTTTTGGTTGTTGAGCCTTTCATTTTTTTTTTCCTCTTCCCTTGAAAGTTTCCTTGGCAACCAAGCAGTTTTTGTTTGCGATCTTTTGGATTTGAAATCTGTTTTGATGCTTGTATAGCCTGTGGTTTTGCGGTATTCCTTCACCCTGTGGCTTGACGTTGACGTTTTGGCAGGGAGCTGATGATCAAGCGTTGTGGAAGTTTCGTAATGTGACGAGAGCTTGAACTCGCTGGTACGAGTCTCAACTCGTATTTTCATTTGTGTAAGGTTTTAGTCGGGTGTCGATTACTAATTTGTAAAACCCGAAATTTGCATTTCTTTGTTTTCGTGTTGGCGGAGCGGATTTACATATCGACATGCTATGATTTTGAGTTTTTGGGATATTTCTGTCCTCTTTTATTTCTCACTTGTCAGGCCGTCACGATCATGCCCTGGATCCTAACTTTATCTGCCTTTTTTAAGAACAAAAAAAAAAAAAACTTGCTGGAAAATTCTTGTTGAGGAGATGACTAAGGTTTAACAGAACGATTTTGTCGGGTTTGAACAATTATAAACAGGAAAACGCGTAACCGCTTTGCCATATGATTTTGTCGGGCTAGATGTGGCTTCAAGCGCTTTTCTCTTAGTGATTCCATCCTACTCTTCAATCCTTGTCGTTTTGTTTCTATTTCTAAACCTACTTTTGACCTTAAGGCCTTGAGAGTTGACATGTCATCTCAGCACGCCAGAAGGCATGATAGAGGGCAGGATGTTATGAGAAAGTAGGGTATCTAGCATTTCGCAATGTAATATGACTTCTTTTACAATTTTTACATAATTTTCCTGTGCACAAATAGTAATTATCTTTTGTAGTTTTTACTTTTTCTTTTTTGACCTGTAAGTAGACTTCTAAGATAGCCGTTGAGGCGGCTTTCAATTGTCCAATCAATGCCACAAAATCGGGTTGAATATTTGCTGATGAGGTGTCAACCATCTGTGAGAGAATCTCTTATGAGTAATGCATTGAGATACTTTGGTGATATGATGGCTTAATTGGTTATCAAAGTCAGTCAATTTTTCTTGCGTCAATTTGTGGTCTGGGATTTATGTTAAGATGGAAGATATATTTCACAACAGAATAGAGAGTTCGGTAAACGTGGAAGTGTTTTGATAATAGCTCGCTATGACCTGGGGGGCTTTAATTGTCTTTATCAAAGTGATATCTGTGATATTGAACCCGATTTCATGAGAAGAATGTCAAAATTTTGTTTTGAATGTTGATATTGAGAAGGCTATGCTTATCTGACGTATTTTGACTCACGCCAAGAAGTTCACATCGATGGATTATCAATAACATGGGCTTTTTTTAGTTTTTTAGGTTTTTTTTTTAAAATTTAGGGGGGGGGGGCTTATATGATAAATATCTTTGTTACTGCAATCACGACGAACCTTGTTAGCTTGAGTTGAACTTTTCTGCACTTAAATCCATGTGCCTTAAAGGGAGCATTCCTACTTGAATTGTTGCTGGCCAATGATCGACTATCATTTTCATCTGAACTATTGTCGTCTTCTGGTGCTTGTTCTGTAGCCATCGTATCTTTGGTGCATCTTCTAGGTCTTCTGCATTTTGCCAACTAGTTTACTTTATCCAAAAGTAAAACGCTATTTTCAGTTGATATGAAGATTATGGGTAATTTGTTCAAGCCTGTAGAGGCCTGAACTATGAATATGTGCAGTCACAGTAAGTGTGATGATAGATAATATCTGCATAATTATTTGTTCATTCAATTTACAATATGCCCTTGTCATCTGTTAGTTGGAGATGATTGAACAATTATCTGAAGAATCCTTCATAGATTGTGTCTTTTGGTATTTGTTAATAGGAAGAAGAAAGCTATTAATGAAAAGTTTCCCTTCCACTGGCCATGGCATCAAGATCATTTGCTAATCTCCTAGACTTAGCAAGTGGAGACCTATTGGCTATTCCTCACACCCCAAGAACTCTTCCAAGGATTGTTACAGTTCCAGGGATTATTTCAGAACTGGATCGTCAAGGTTGTAATGATGGGGATTCAGATGTCAGCTCTTCTGGGTGTCGAGAGAGGAAAATCATTGTGGCAAACATGCTGCCATTGCAGGCTAAAAGGGACCTGCAAACTTCTAAATGGTGCTTCAGCTTGGATGATGATTCAATTTTATTGCAACTAAAAGATGGGTTTTCTTCTGATACTGAGGTGATCTATGTGGGGTCTCTCAAGGTTGAAATAGAGTCCAGTGAGCAGGATGAGGTTGCTCAGAAATTAATGGAAGACTTCAATTGCGTGCCTACTTTTTTACCTCATGATCTCCAGAAAAAGTTTTATCTTGGCTTTTGTAAGCAGCAGCTGTGGCCTCTCTTTCATTATATGCTACCTATGTGCCCAGATCATGGTGATCGCTTTGACCGCACGCTTTGGCAGGCTTATGTTTCTGCTAACAAAATATTTGCAGATAAGGTTATGGAAATAATTAATCCTGATGATGATTTTGTTTGGGTTCATGACTATCACTTGATGGTGTTGCCTACATTTCTGAGGAAGAGATTTAATCGAGTTAAACTTGGTTTCTTCCTTCATAGTCCCTTCCCTTCATCTGAAATTTACCGAACCTTGCCAGTACGAGATGAAATTCTCAGGGGATTGTTGAACTCTGACTTAATTGGTTTTCACACATTTGATTACGCTCGACACTTCCTCTCTTGTTGCAGTAGAATGCTGGGTCTGGACTATGAATCTAAGCGGGGACACATAGGACTTGATTATTTTGGCCGCACTATATTTATCAAGATTTTGCCTGTAGGCATTCACATTGGTAGGCTTGAATCTGTATTAGATCTTTCCTCTACATCTGCTAAAATAAAAGAAATCCAGGAAGAGTTTAAGGGTAGGAAAGTGATTCTTGGTATTGATGATATGGATATTTTTAAGGGCATCAGCTTGAAACTACTAGCTCTGGAGCAGCTGCTTCATCAGCATCCTGATTTGCTGGGCAAGATTGTACTAGTTCAAATTGTGAATCCTGCCAGGGGTTCTGGGAAGGATGTTCAGGAAGCAAAGAAGGAAACATATTTAATTGCCCAGAGGATCAATGGTACTTATGGTTCACCTCATTATCAACCAGTTATTCTCATTGACCGTCCTGTTCCTCGTTTTGAGAAGAGTGCCTATTATGCTGTAGCAGAATGTTGCATTGTCAATGCTGTGAGGGATGGCATGAACTTGGTCCCTTACAAATACGTTGTCTGCAGACAAGGAACTTCAAAACTGGATCAAGCATTGGGTAGAAAAAATGATGCTCCTCATACAAGCATGCTTGTTGTGTCAGAGTTTATTGGCTGTTCACCTTCCTTAAGTGGAGCAATTAGGGTTAACCCCTGGGATATAGATGCTGTTGCGGAAGCTTTGAATTTGGCAATTACAATGAATGATTCAGAGAAGAAATTGCGGCATGAGAAGCACTATCGGTATGTCAGCTCCCATGATGTGGCTTATTGGGCTCGTAGTTTTATGCAAGATTTGGAGAGAGCATGCAAAGATCATTACACCAAGAGGTGCTGGGGATTTGGTCTGGGCCTAGGGTTCAGAGTTGTTTCTCTTACTCCTGGATTCAGGAAGTTGTCTGTTGATCACATTGTTTCAGCATACAAGAGAACCAATAGAAGGGCCATATTTCTTGATTATGATGGTACTGTTGTACCACAATCTTCCATAAATAAAACCCCCAGCCTTGAAGTCATATCTGTTCTGAATACTTTGTGTAATGATCCCAAGAACACTGTGTTCATTGTTAGTGGGAGGGGAAGGGATTCGTTGAGCGATTGGTTTGCTTCATGCAAATTGCTGGGACTTGCTGCTGAACATGGGTATTTCTTAAGGTATGTCACTCAAGTGCTATAAAGATTATTGCCACATACTTTTTTATCATCCTCTACACCCAGTCTAGAAATATATTTGTTGAAGTGTTTATTCCCCTTGTTATCTGCAGGTGGAGTAGTTCCTCCCCATGGGAGACAAGTCACCTGTCTGCTGACCTTGATTGGAAAAATGCCGTGGAACCTATAATGAGGTCATACATAGAAGCAACTGATGGATCTAATATTGAAATTAAGGAAAGTGCACTGGTATGGCATCATCAAGATGCTGACCCTGATTTTGGTTCTTGCCAAGCCAAAGAACTGTTGAATCACCTTGAAAGCGTGCTTGCTAATGAGCCGGCTGTTGTTAAGAGGGGCCAACATATTGTTGAAGTTAAGCCACAGGTGTGAAAATTTTTAACTCCTCCCTAACCCTTGACTGCTTGCTTTTTTTATGTCAGAAGCTGGAATAGGCTTATCCAAGTCTCTTTTTCCTTTGCGCAGGGAGTAAGCAAGGGTTTGGTAGCTGAAAAGGTTCTTATGACTATGGTCAATGATGGAGATCCGCCAGATTTTGTTATGTGCATTGGGGATGATAGGTCTGATGAAGACATGTTTGAGGGCATACTAAGGACAATCTCTTGTCCATCATTGCCAGTTGCTCCAGAGATCTTTGCCTGCACCGTTGGCCAGAAGCCTAGCAAGGCCAAGTATTATCTTGATGATGCTGCTGAAGTGGTAAAATTGCTTCAGGGCCTTGGTATTGCATCAAATCCCAAGCCGAGGCATTTAGCCCATTTCCAGGTTTCTTTTGAGAGCACGGTTTGAGTTGTGGTCTGAGCAAGAAGGCACAATTGGTTTTTCTTTTTTATTAACTATATGCTGCTTCCGGGATTCTTCACCCATGAGAGAGAAAATTTTTGATTGACATTAGCTGAACGCATGGGGGGACATTGTTGTAGCAGAGCTAATTCTTCCTTGTCACCTGAATTGGTTTACTTGGCTTCTCAAAGCGAAGGTTTTTGTTAAAATAGTACAGTTCAGGGATGAGTCCACAATTCTTCCTCTGTATATGTTAACTTCGATTTCTGTACTTGCTGGTGCCTCTCACTGCTGAAACTTTTTCAGATTTTAGATTAGACGCCGTTTGTGTTTTGTCAGTATTGTGGGCACCAGTCACTTGTATAGATATACTTCTGTTACAATACAAAATGGTCAGTTTGGTTTGACAACTGTTTGCCTTGATATGGTGGGTAATCTACGGCTAAAAAAAAAAAATTGGGGGAATGGGGTGAAACATTCAGGCATTTTGGTACATGGTACGTAATTTTTTAGCAACAAGGTACGTGGTACATTAGTGATGTAAACTTTCACTGATATAGAATGAGGCAATTGACAACTAGCAAGGGTGACCCAAGTGGATATTCCCAGAAGTGGGGTCCACCTCAGTCCACCATCGTTGATCCTGCTGTAGAGGCGCATGATATGCTATAAACACTCACAAGTAGTTCGTTGGTGAAGTAGAGTTTCGTCCGGACTTGTGGCCAGAGAACTTCTGAGGCTGAAGATGAATGACATCATGATAGTTAACAATCTAGTAGAAATTCCCGTGTCCTTGCAACATACAGAAGGTGCCCCAAGAATATTAAAAAATTTATTATTTAAATCAGTAGCTTATCACCCCAATAATTGAATCAAAAGGGATTAATAACAGTCCAGTGGACTGAAATGGCCGTCGGTGTGGAGGTTTCTTTGTAAGTAGTCACTAAACGACAGAAGGCACCAAGACGAATATGTTGAGCCAGTTGAGTGACTGTTGCTTTCTTTAGATCTCTTAGCTGTATGTATATCTGAAGAGTCATCCACAAAAAAGCCACACCCCTCGTGATATTTTTAATTCAAGCACTTTTCATGCGCGCGCGCACACATATGGAAAGTAGACAGATGAAAAAAATAATGTTATTTTTACCAAGAAAGATCTGGGAGAGAAACACGGCAAAAAAACAGAAGGCTTATTTCAACATGCTGCTATAGTATGAAGTGTTACATGAAGATGGAGCGTGCATTGGAACTCAGGAACGTGACCATACTTTGGAACAGTACGCACCAGAGCCCTAGGAATGTCAGTATATATATCTATAGATGGTCACTGCAACAATTGATCAATACGATTTTGATTTGTTTGTTGCATCTAGTTGAAGCTGAGCAAGACAACCTCTGTTTTCTTTTGTTTTCTTTAAGAATGCTTATGGAACAGAGGAAATAACAGAATTAAAAAAATATGGGCATGTTTGTTTGTGTTGTTGCAGTGTTGTTTTGTTTTGTTTTGTTTTGTTTTTTTTCTACCATAGGGATTATAAAAATGTCGAATCTGACACGGAATATTGTGAACATCACCAGTCTCATCACATGGCATGGCATAATTGCCAGCTTGCTCTGCCCTGTGTTGCCATTGTCAGATCCTCCGCCCTATGATAGCCTTCAATACAATCACACATTATCACACCAATAAGTTCAACTCCCACTTCTGTCTTCTTCCCCTGCATCATCACGTGTAGTATAATAATGACAGTAATTGTATTTCATGAAAAATTATTCATATATATACTATTATGTAATAATATACAGAACAGTGTTGATGGGAACTGAGGTTGATTCTTCTTCTGCAAATGAATGAATCAGTATAGTTATGGTTTTCTGGAGATTTTAGGTAGCGGTTGGAGTTAAAACTAAGAGACAGAGGAAAAGAGCAGAGAGAGGGGGACAGTGACACAGGCTCATTGGTTCATTCATTGAATTCTAGTGCTGGAATTTGGACCACAAAACCATTTCTGAAAAAGGATTCAGTAGGAGCCAAAGCTAGTACTTGGGATGGCATAGCTTGGTCACAGAGAAATTCTGTTTAATGAATCTAAATTCGCCATATATGTTTCTTAGGATGTGCTTCAAAGTTGAAATCACATCTACCACTCATCTGCTCTTCAAAACTCGGTTTTAATGGAAGCAACCGACCAAACATTGTTTTGGTAGGTATCAGATATGTTTTCAAATACACACTAATTTGTCCCACTTGAAAATTTAGAAAGTACAGCCATACCTTAACACACACACACACACACAAAAGAGGGAGAAAAAAAAGTTCCAGATGTTTTCATTTTATAGAGGTTAATTCCTAGTGAGATAATTAATTTTAAAATATTAAACAAATTAGTTAAATTAATTATTTATAATGTATATGTACTTTCCTAAACGGTCATTTTTAATCATGTGCGTCATAACTACTCTTAATGAAAAGTGGGAACTTCTTACAGTCAATAGGGATACTTTGGCATAAAAATTATAAATTTAAAAGATAAAATGGATTGTGATCTTATATTTAAAATTAAATTTTATCCCAACTATTTTTTATATTAAGAATTGGATGTGATATTATATTTGTCACCCTTAAATATTAGTTAAAGCATTAAGATTGTTGTAGAATTAAAATTGATTACTCTTATCAATTACACTACATTACTTCACTCCGCTGTTATATTAATTTCCGCCTTTCACGTCTTCCTTTTGGAAAAGCAGGAGCATCACATGGCTGTTTTTTCTTTTCTTGCCCCACTATTGAACAATCCTATTTGCGGTATAAATTATTCAAATTTAAATTCCTTATATATGTATACTATCTCCGGTCTTAAATATAAGAGCTAGTTAACTAATTTGAGTAGATTAAATAAATAAGTTAAGTTAGTTATTTAGGTGTTGTCATTGCTAACATATCCTTATTAATCAAGTGTATTAGCTTGAATTATTATTATTACAAAGACTAATTTGAGGGGGGAAAAAGATAAATATGGCAAACAAGGTGGATTGGTGTTTTATATTTAGGATCAAAATAAAAGTCAAACAAACTCTTATATTAAAAACCGGAGATAGTAAAAGTAAAATACAAGCCTCGCCTATGAATTTGACAGATATTTTAATTATAACATAGAAACTGTATGTTAACTTAATAAAAGTTTATTGGCTATAACTATTATTAAAAGAACAATCTTGAAAAAAAGGATAAATATGAGAAACAAAATGGATTTGAGTCTTATATTTGGAATCAAAATAATTCAAATAAGGTCTTACATTAA